GTGGGTGGGCCCCGCCCACACAGGCGGGAGGCGGGGCTTGGTTCTGAATGACAGGTGCGGCAGCCAATTGGTCTTCGAGGTGGGTGGGCCCCGCCCACACAGGCGGGAGGCGGGGCTTGGTTCTGAATGACAGATGAGGCAGCCAATTGGTCTTCGAGGTGGTTGGGCCCAGCCCACACAGGCGGGAGGTGGGGCTTAGTTTTGAGTGACGGGGGTCGCAGCCAATCCGCAGTGGAATAACTAATTCACAGCCTTCCAATTTTTATTCCCGCAGTTTCAGGGCTTTTTTGGTTTTTTTTAATAATAAAATAGATTTGATTGAAATTTTGTCGATATAGAAGATAATTTTTTTTTATTAAAAAAAAAATCCCAACACAGTTATTCTTTGCTCTTCCATTTATCACCGTGCACGTGAGGGGAAATTTTAAGGAATTTTCATTTGGAGGCTTGTTTCCATGGCCAGGACGGGGCTTGGAGCAACCTGGGATAGCGGAAAGTGTGGAAGAGGGAAATCAGGGGGGACCAGAGCCCAGATGTGGAGGAAGGAGCTCTGGGAATGTTCAACATCCCAGCTGAGCAAGGGTTGGGCCAGCAATAAATCGATATTATAGAGCAAGAAATGCAGTCAGGACGTTTATTCTGCACATTTAATCTTGTTTCTCTCACTTCTCTATTTCATCTCTTTTTATTTCATGTCCAGGAGCTCGGAGTGTTTTAAAACTTAGAGGATCTCAGGATGGTTTGGGTTGGAAGGACCTTAAAGCTCCTCCAGTTCCACCCCTTTCACACCTTTCCACACCTTCCACTATCCCAGGTTGCTCCAAGCCCCATCCTGGCCTTGGAAACAAATCTTCAGATGAAAATTCCTTAAACTTCTACCCCACCTGAATAGTAATAAATAAAAAGAATACCTGGGTGGTTTTGGTTTGATGTGTTTTTTTTTTTTTTTTTAATAAGAAAATATTTCTCTTTTATACTGGCAAAATTTCAAGCAAATCTATTTTATTATTTAAAAAAAAAAAAAAAGCACTGAAACTGCAGGGAAAAAATGGTTGGAAGGCTGTGAATTAAGTTATTCCACTGCAGATGAGACACTTCTGCTCAGTTACCACGAGAGGGACACAGAAGGAAAGCTAAAAAGGAGCTGGGGAAAAAAAATACTACAACAATCCAAAGAACAGCTTGACTTGGGATCGTAGCAACACACGTTGGCCTTTTGTTTGGGAATATCTGCCGCCATCCCAACATTCCCAGAGCTTCCTTCATCCCCCTGTAATCCCTAAAAAGCTCCCCGGGTCTTGGAAAATGTGCTAATAAAGACGAAAATGGAGCTTTTCCCAGAATTTCATCATCTCTCCCTGGGTTTTTTCCCCCTTGGAATGTCCGTGGCAGTGGCGGGACAGGGAGAGCTGGGCCTGGCTGGGGTTTTGTTCCATCCCGAGCCTTTGGAGCAGCAAATCCTGCAGGGCTGGGCCCGTGGAAAAGGGGCTCAGGGAGGGATTTTTGTTTATTCTGCTGAATCTTCGCTAATTAGTGGTTAATGAGGCAGATGCCGTGAGGGCCCAGCTCCCAGAAAACGAGCCCAGCTCCCAAAAAATGAGCCCAGCTCCCAAAAAACAGGCCCAGCTCCCAGAAAATGAGCCCAGCTCCCAAAAAACAGGCCCAGCTCCCAAAAAACGAGCCTAGCTCCCAAAAAACGGGCCCAACTCCCAAAAAATGCCTCCGTGGAACAAGGGGAGCATCAAATCCCTCAGAGTAAACACTGAGGGGTTTATTGGGCTCTCGTGGGATTAAAAGGCCCGGCCCTGAGATGCTCTGGATTATAATGCAGTTTATTAATTTAAGGATCTGCAGTTTATTAATCCTTAATGTCAGTAAGGATTGAATTCCAGCACAGCAGGGATGGGATCGGGACGAGAGCGCTGGGAAAAAAGGGTTGTCCTGGGGAAAACTGGGGGGGAAAGCCCCTATTTTTTTAAATTTATAAGTTTATAGACTTCAGTTTTAACACTTGTGTTTCTTGGCAGGTGGTTTTGAAAAGATCTCAAGTGCTGTGATGCCAAGTGGTCGTTTTTACAAAGGCCTGTAATGTAAAAAAAGCCCTTTTTTCACCAGCTAAAAACACCTCAGGAAGGTGTCATCCTGGAAATGTAAGAATTATCCTGGAAATGTAAGAATTATTCTGGAAATTGAAGAATTTCTTGAAGGTGCCAGAATTGAAGTGCAATGGGAAATGCAAATCCAGCCTTGGTTTCAGGGGTATAAACAGGGAAATGCAAATCCAGCTTTGATTTCAGGGATATGAGCAGTGAAGTAGAGAAAACTCAGGAAAAAGAAAGAGCTTTAACTACTGGTCAAAGAATTTTCCTGGGATAATTCTGTTTGAACTGATTCACCTGCAGGTTCAGCTGTGGCTGCATAAAGTGTTCCCAAAACAAGGCATGGAGATGTCACTTGGAGCAGTGAAGGAAAAGGAGGAGAAGATTTTGACATTTCTCCAGTGGTCTGGAATGGAAAAGGTCCTTGGAAATTAAGGTGATGAGGGACATTAAAAGATGACATCGATATATGAAAGCCAGGAAATGGAACTCGCTGTTTCACTAAGCACCAAAAAGCCAATAAACTTGTTAAAACGTAATTTAATATGGATTCTTAGTGTTAAGCTGTTATTATAAATATTTAATATGAAAATAATAATTTAAAACACGGTATGTTGGTATAAAATTCGAAATCTTTCCCCTCAGAAATGTCTTTAAATCCTCCCTAACTCCCCTTCCTTGAAAACAGCTGAAGTGTGTGTTCATCCCAAACAAGGCCACGTTAGCACAGGGTCTGGATTCAAGGAATTAATGGAGGGAATTGTCATTTTATGAACAGAACTCGTGGCTTTAGGCAGGTTTTTAAGGTTGCAGAAGTACCCCATGAAGTGATCTACTCCTCTTTAACTGGCCCCAAAAGTTAAAGAGCACTAGAAAAAGGCAGAGTTTCTAAAATCTCAGCAAAAAACCAAATTCTCTGGAATTCACGGGTATATTCAGGAAGATATTTGAGAGTATCTGTGACCTATTAAATCTGGAAGGAGGAGATTTGTTAAAAACCACTCATTTTCTAAAGGGGCACCGACGTTTCTTTAAATGGGATCTCTCCAAACCAGATGTTGTTGTATCTGAGCATAAAAACAACATGTTGAAGGTCTCGGTTTTCCATGTTTGGTCGAATTCCTGGCACTTCTCCTGGGCAGATGGAGGTGATTGAGCATAATGGAAAAGCCAGGCCTTCACAAAGGGCTCGGGGTGTGTCTGAACTTCCTCAGGTTGGTGGGGGAAAAAAGGAAAAGTGGTGAGTTTTCAGGTGTCTCCTCGAAATTTAGGAATCCTCGGAGCGTTGGCAGCGTCGCCCCTGAGGTGGTGGCAGCTTGATTTCTCCTCAGAGCACCCCTGCTTGGAATTTTTTGGAGCAGGAGCTTGGGTTTGTGTCAGAACAGAACAAACCACTTGAAAAATCCCAGTATTTTTTTTTTCAGTCCCACCCCTGGCTTTTTCTTTGCTTTTTTTTTTTTTTGTTTAAGAATAACAAAATCTAATAAGAATCTACTTTAGATTCTCTGCATCTAAAGTAAATCCTTCCAAGCAAATCCTTCTTCCTGCTGTGGGAGAAGTCTGTTTATTTGGCACTTGCCTTAAAAATGGAGTGATGTCAGGAACCCAACATTTGGGGTTGGATCTGGGGGTTGATCTGAAGGTGCAAGGTGTGTTTGGCCTTAGAATGTGGCTCCAGGACTTACAGGAGGGGCTCAGGTTCCTGCTGGACTAAACACCTGCATCCAGGAAAAGGTCTGGAATACGAACCACTGAATGTTCTGGCCTCCAGCTCTCCAGAATTTTCCCCCTCTGGCTTTCAGTTCTCAGCTCCTTTTGATGTTAAACACAAGAATTCCCCCTCTTCTCGTTGGAAATATTAAAAGTTTAGAAAACAAGGAGTGCAAGGAATTTTATCCTTTCCCTGCAGCAGCTACGGGGATGTCTGGTGATATCAACTTTATTTCTTGCCTGAAAAACCAAACCAGATCTAGAACTGAGGGAAACCAAACGTTTTATTTGTTTCCATCATGGGAACCCTTCAAAATTGGGGATGTCTGTGGGGGGGGTGATGCAGAGCAAGAAGGAGTTGGGTGCCTGAACTGGGCTGGTTTCATCAGGGCAGGGAGAAAGCTTGAAGTGGAAAGAATGTTTTCTTTGCGGAGTGTTGTGGGTTTGAAGGGGGGAACCAGGCCAGTGCTGAACTCATGAATGGCTGCAGTGTGGTTGTGTAACACCTTCCCAGAAGTCAGGAGTTCCTTGGAAATGTACCCAGCCCGCTGGTGGAATGTCATCCAACTGGAGGGTGGAAAGATCTGGAGACCGTGGGGTCCCAGGTTTTTATGGTGTTTGCCCAGAGGGAACGTTTCAGTTCATTATTCCAGCAGCTCCCTAAACCCAGAGGGCTTCAGACGTGCTGGATTTGCCCCTCTGGGCTGGGAAGGAGGTTCCCCTCTGTGCCACTGATGTTTAGGAGTGTTCCTGGGATAAAAACTCTCCCTTTTGCCACGCAGTTTCCCAGCTTGTTCCTCAGGAGGGATCCTCCCGCCCCAACCTGGTTCCTGGGACTCCCTCACACTGGATTTAAGACCCCCCAACCCTTCAATATTTGGGATGTCTGGGGGGGGGTGATGCAGAGCAAGAAGGAGTTGGGTGCCTGAACCAGGCTGGTTTCAGGGCAGGGAGAAAGCTTGAAGTGGAAAGAATGTTTTCTTTGCAGGACCTGCTTTGGATCTGACCCAACCTGCCCCTGACCAGGCTTCCAGCAGCACTTCCCAATGAATTCCCATTGCTCTTGGCTTCTCCCTGAGCTGTGTGAGGGGGCAGAGATCCCACAGGGAAGGGCAGCCAGCAGGACCAGGAATAAAGAGCTGGAAAGGGCCTGGAAGAGCCATGGAAAGGCAGAGAGATAAGGAGCCTGTCCAGGGTCACATAGAACAGCCTTTAAAAAGTGGTGCCAGTCGGGATTCACCTTCCAGGAGCTGTCACGGGTGCCCTGATGGAAGTGGAGCCTGCTGGAATTCCAGGGCTCCGAGCGAGGCCCGTGTTGGAGTCTGGGGCTGTTTTCACCAAAAAAAAAAAAAAAAAAAAAAAGAAGGTCATTACTGGCCTTGATTTATGATCAAACAGAAGTTTGCAAACGGTTTCTCGAGCCTGGTCCAGAAATCCATGAGCTTTATGTCATCTGGAGGAGGCCCAGAAGACGGGATTATTTTTCCTGTAGTTGTTATTAGCCAGTGTTTATTAAGAAGATGAAATGTTGAACTGGAGCCCTTTTTTTTTTATTATTATTTTTTATTTTATTTTATTTTATTTTATTTTATTTTTCAGCCCTAGGGTGAGGGCAGAGCAAAGGTGCTCTGGGAAGCTCCTGGTGTGGAAGTGACACAGGGATTTTAGGCCACTCTCCTGGCACCATGGGAGTGCCTGACTTTGCTGGAAGAAGGGATTGCAAAAGGGACATGGAGGAGGTCTGGAGAGCAATAATTCTAAATAGCACCTCAGGAATGATGTCATTTCAACCAAACGTTGGACATTGGGCAATGAATTCCTTTGGAGCAAGAGCAACCCAGGGCCACCAGCCAGGAGGGGGGAAGAACTTCCACAGAACAGGGTAATAAAGAACCTGTGGAAAGTCCAAAGCGTTGCAAGGTCATGGTGGAAAACCAGATAGGAATAATCCTGAGGAGAGGCAGATAAATAACCTGGAATTCTCTCCGGGCGTGAGGGGTTACCAGGAAAGGCAGGGGAGGAAGGTGTTACAGCTCCAGAACAAACAGCAGGTCTTGATCCATGTCAGGAGCCAAATCTTGGGATAGATGGAGCACTGGAACAGCCTGAAAGATTGCTGTGATCCCAGAGGGGTCCTTGTGATCCCAGAGGAGTCCCATGATCCCAGAGGGATCCTTGTGATCCCAGAGGGGTCCCATGATCCCAGAGGGACCCTGTGATCCCAGAGTGATCCCTGTGGTCCCAAAGAGATCCCCATGATCCCAGAGTGATCCCTGTGATCCCAGAGGGGCCCCTGTGATCCCAGAGCAATTCCTGTGATCCCAGAGGAGTCCCCATGATCCCTGTGATCCCAGAGGGGTCTTTGTGATCTCAGAGGGGTCCCCATGATCCCAGAGTGATCCCTGTGGTCCCAGAGTGATCCCTGTGATCCTAAAGAGGTCCCCATGATCCCAGAGGGGCCCATGTGATCCCAGAGTGATCCCTGTGATCCCAGAGTGGTCCCCATGATCCCAGAGGGGCCCGTGTGATCCCAGAGTGATCCCTGTGATCCCTGATGCCAAGATTTTGCCCCCAAAAAGGCAAAAATGGAAAAATTCTGCTTAGAGACAAAGTTTGTAGCCTTTAAGCACCCTCTGTAGGTGTGTGTGCATTCCTTTAGTGTACAGTGCTATCTAACCCTAAGCAGTACATTCTGGCTAAGCAACTTCTCTGTGTTCTTGCTCCTAACTATATTTTGAACTTAACTCTTTGCTTTTTGTATTGCTGTGTTGCATTTGCTTTCTAGGCCTTGCCTGGATTCATCCCAAAGAAGTCCCCATGATCCCAGAGTGATCCTTGTGGTCCCAGAGTTGCCTCTTTGATCCCAGAGGGATCCTGAGCTGTTCCCTTGGGGCTCAAACCATCACCAGTGAAAACCTGTGTCCTCCTCCTGGACTGAGGGGGCCAAAAGGCTGCAACAAATCCAGGGATATTTATTCCTGTGGACTTGATGAACTCAATGACTTGATGAAACATCAAAACCACCCCATAAAAACTGTGTGTTGGTGGAGTTTTTAATTTGTGGGGTGACTCGTGGTGCTGCAAATGCTCTGAACCGGTGGCTCGCCCTCAGGGGGGGGAGAAGGAATAGCCCTTTGACATATAACTCTGAACAAATTCTCACTAATTCAGCCATAAACAGCTGAAGGCCTGGTCAGCTTTGTAGAAACCTGCCCATTTTGTCCTTTTTTATCCCTTTTATCCCTTTTTATCCCATTTGTTCCCCTATCCCACCAGAGGCCACCACAAACAGCAGCTGGGGGGGAAAAAAAAACAAAAAAAAAAAAAAACCAAAAAAAAAAAGAAAGAGGAAGAAAGCAAAGCAATGGAAGGGGCACCTGCAGCCCTGAACGGCCAAAGCTCCTGTTTTATGAGGAGATTCAGAAGTGGAACTTGGATCCCTCCAGAAACAGCTTCTCCTCCCGCTGCGTCGGGAGCGACTCCCGGATCGCGCCTCTCGGAGCCAGGGAATGATCTCAGGCCGCTGAGATCAGATTTTGCTGAGTGTGTGCAGGGTTAGGCCTGATGTTCCCTGCCCTTTCCAGAGAAGTTCTCCCCTCTCCAAACTGTGCCTTGAGGTTTGGTTTCCTCGGGAAGCCTTGGCCCTTCTGCTGCCTCGGCATCTCGGCCTTGGCCTTTGCCATCCCCGTTTATCCACCTGAGGCCTGGGGTTCCTGGAATTGCCTGTGCTTTTCCTGGAAGAAGCGTTGGAGGGGCGGAATGGCTTGTGCAGGAAGCCTTCAAAGGGCTGAGAAGGTGTCCAGGAGGCACAGAGGCAGCTGGAGTTTGG